GTGGTCGTCTAACACTCAGCCATCTGAAATCTAATCTAAAGGTAGTTTCCATGACTCCACAGCTTCAGAATTAATCTGACTTCTATCATGAAAAGCCCGACAGTAAATTTCTTATTCCGAATTCACCCCGAGCAGAGCGATTTCCATGCAAGTGAAGGAGGTGATGGTCTGATGGAAGTAGGGCTAGGTAGTACGATGTAGGACAAGACATCTCCTTTTCTAGCTCCATTAGAAGCTGTGTGTCGCGAACTGGTGCACCACTCCAATCAATCGCAATCGGCATCAACGGTCAACGCACTCGAACTCCCGGTGCGCTGCCTTGTTAGTCGGAGCACTTGCCAAAGCTCAGCGTTCCTCACGCGTACCCTAACAGGAGGAGCAGACTTTCCTTCGGGAGTTTAAGAGGGGGATCATGGTGTCTTGCCGCCTATGAAGCGCCCTAACGGCCTTAACGACAAAGTCTGGAGTGCCCAACCTTAGCTACACTCGAAATCCTTCAGATGCAGTAGGCGTGGCTTGTGTACTTCAACTAAACAGGTGATTGTGATTTTGGTGAGATATTTTTATTGAAACAATCACGGTCATGTCCTTGTCCAACACAGAACAAGATGACAGCTTGTCCCAGACTGAAATATCCCACGAGTAACCCATTTCTATACCACGTTCCAATGCCACGCCTACTCCTTCTCAGGGATATGAAGTGTTCGCATGTTCGTAAGCGCGCAGTACAAACAACATATAGGAAACGATGGCTATACCACACACACCAAATCATGAGCTCCCATTGTAACAATTCAGTTCATCATTTCATACAGAGTACCTCACCACATCGGCTGCGATCAGCAAAAGAACCGGAGGGGAGAGTGTTTGTCTATCACACGGTAGCAACACTTACGCTCCAAAGTCTCAGATACGCTGGGCGAGAGCCATCTGAATATGGTAGCGATTGCGCTTCTAGAGTAGATGTTCTGCCGCTTATGACCAAATCTTACTTTTCGCCATATCGTGTGCAGATAACTCATTTAAATGCTGTCAATTTTTGACAGGAGTGCGATTGTATCTGCATTCGCAGTAGGTGGTGCGGTTGGAGGATTGATCTCCGGAGCGTTGGCTGACAAAGCTGGACGACGTGGTGGTCTACTCTATACGAACATCCTCGCCATCGTAGCTGCTGTTCTTATGGGAGGAGCTAAATACGTCAATCTCTATATACCGCTGCTTTTCGGACGATTTTTCATTGGAATTTACGCAGGTAAGGAACTCTCAACATCTTCATTGCGGAGCTCAGTTGACTACTATAAATTCGCCATAATTATTTAGTTTTATTTATTTCACTGGGCAGGAGGTGGTGTAGTGACAAGTGGCGCGCTCACCACTATCCGCGGCGACGGTTGAATCGGGTCGAACCGCCAGGCTAAATCAAAGCCTTTCCACCTCCGGAGACCGGTAAATTGGGTTACGAGATGTCTGGGGAGGAGAAAACATGACTTGTAAGCATCGGCTGCCCCCGCAAGGTCATTGTTCCAGGCAGCACGCATTTAATAAGCCATTACATTGCTGAAGCTGCAATAGAATGCGTTGCCGAATTCACAAAGGGACTTGATCACGGGTAATAGCTTGTATCCTTGTATCCTTTAGTTTATTTCACTTAATACACAAAGAACGCCAGCTCAGAGAACACACTTTATATGCACAGTGATATAGTATTAGGATAAGAAAGAAGTAAGTTAGTTGACAAAAGACTATTGAAGATAAACGTTAAAAAACCAACAATAGTTAGCTGGGCCTACGAAGAACTCGAAAATACATGGGCTCCTTTTTAACAAGTGGATAGGTTGCTTCCATCCACCTCGTAGATGAATAAAGTTCCCCACAGAGCCATTCTGGGGTTATGAACGTAAAGTGAGGACGACTTTTGGCTAGCTGAAGAAGGCTTGGTCTCTTACAAACAGTTACTCCGCGACCTCAAGACAAACAAAATAAATGGCCTAAAACAGAGAGGTTCATTACCCAACCAATCAGCATAACTCAGTCCACGGATCTCGGATAATTAGTAGATCATCAACGGTTATTCCAAAGACAGTGATAGGATATGCCACAAAGGTCAGAATAATTCGCACACGCTTCAGGCAGACTGAAAAGCAAGTAAACTATATCTGAGATGTTTGTCAGCGATTTTCATTAGATTAGAGCAATGCTCGCTCACATATTTTGGACTCTCCTATGTCTTTCCGAAAATCTGAAAGACAATAATGCACGGGAAAGAAGTTGGAGGGCAGTTATGTGCGGATTTTGTCTCCATACCCCACAAAAGCTGCAGCACCTGATCGTAGCCAAACGCGCTAATTCTGAGTGTCTCCGTCCTGATTCTGGTTCTCTACCGCTGAGTACGTGCTTCGTTTCGGGACCTCAGTTTCCACGCAAGTGCTGCATCTTGAGGATATCCTTCTTGGAACAGATGGCGTGTCGGACTTCGGAATTGAAAACTGAGTCATCATTCTGCATGTTAACGAGGACAAGCACACTGCCAACGCCTCTGCTGTCGCATGTGCCGGAGAACATTTCTTTTCCAGTTTCGTAAACGAGAGCAGGCGATTTCTTCTAGTTTCGATCGAACCCACCACGTCGACTTACTTGACTCTCGCTGGCTTGCATCATCAGATATTCCATGTGAACTTCTGATGCTAGCATGCGTACGTTGAAAGCACAGATCGTCATCATGGTTCTAAGCAGCTTGTTTCTCTATGAGCCCTGAAGATTCTTGCAGTCTCTTCCGAGCGGTCCCAACCAACGCTACTCTGTCGGTGGTTCCTTCAAATTCCCATAGCTGCTTCTGCTTGTGGCACATGAATCAATCACGCATCGCTGGCCAGGCTCTGACGTGGTACCCTTCGCAAAGCAGTCTGAAAGAATCGTTTCATTCCCACGCCACCTTGCAACTGCGTACAGGACTTGTCAGGGAATAAATTTGAACAACCTCAGTACACAAGTTTATGCCGATTTCGGCGAGAAATGTGGACCCCATATTTAGTTTCAAACGTGTGATAAGTCCTTGCGAGCGTATCACTTCATCCATCCATATCCTTCATTGGCCCTGAGATTTTACATCTTTTTCCAAGTGATCCCAACCAATTCTGCTCTGTCGCTGGTCCTTCCATGATTATGGGAATGAGGCCAATAGTTGTTAGGTATATCTAGTGACTACATGTAGCTTGCCTGGCTCTGATAT